ACGAAACCCAGCAGCGTTAACTGCTATTTTACGCTGGTATTCTGTGAGAGCGTGGTCCTTCCCCAGTGGAGCCGACCCATTCGTGCTGCAACTAATATAGCTGCAACGTGACTCTATCACGTAACGTTATCAGGAAGATGTTGCTGCTCAACTTGTGTTTCAGTTTTCCTCTGTCGATTCTTAACATACCCACGGGACAATGGCTGTTATGAATGAATATAATAAATTATGTATGTTCTAATTATTTTTTCGTGTTTATTGACAAAAATGGCTATTAGAAAATTAGTGATATTATTTTTTTAAATTTTCCTTACATGCAGTATTAAAGTTTTTTTGCGTTATTTTTATCCATACGTAAAACAATTTAAACTGCAACCTGTATATAAATGTATAAAACAAAAATTTTATCGATCGGTAATTGCAAACGAAGCTGCTTTAAATAATGATAAAAGGCATACCAATACAAATTAGTATGAAACAATTTAATAAAAACCTATTTTTTTTTTAGTTTTTAACGATTATTAAGAAACACGTAGTAATGTATTTGCTTCTTTTTTTCGATTAAATACGTCTTCTTTTATACCTAACTGCGATGGAGAATATGTATGTGTGCACTATGGTCCGGTTCTGCCGCATGTCTGCCCGTTTCTTAAAACTAGTCAGATTTTATTTCTCAACCTTTTATATGGTAATCAATTTAAAGTTTTTAAAGAGTACATTCTAAATTAACAATGTGGAAGTATAACTTCCATATGATTTTTTTACTCAACTAGCGATCCGCCCCGGCTTCGCATGGGCGATTTCTGGATCTCGATAACAGCGCCACCTACCGGGTCCAATTGTGAATGTAATCCATCCAGGGACCCACTCAAACAAAAAACTTCATCAAAATCGGTCCAGCCGTTCTCAAAGTGATTACCTTACATACATGCGGCAATTGATTTTTATTTGTATAGATTGATGTACTCGTAATAGGCGAACTCGAAGACCACCTGATGGTAAGTGGATGCTGTGGTCTATATGTAGACATCTATATCTATCCTCGATTGAGAACCAAAATGCGTTGTTACCCCTAAGGATTAAGATGAAATGCCTCGCATCCTTTAAAAAAGGTCTCCGGTTCTCTACACTCACCATACGGAACACAGCAGCATTAAGCTTCCGTATGCTATTTTACGCTGGTGTTCCGTAAGACCGTGGTCCCATTCGTGATACAACCAATATAGCTTCTGCATGGCTCTACTACGATTAACTGTCTATGGATGCCGGTATTAGTTCAATCACTTATATTAATTAGATCTCTTAGTCCGGTTCTGTCTTCTTGTGAGAAAAAGAGACAGTCGCATTCTAAATAAATTTTAGTTTCCCTGTAGCCGGAGGTGACAACAGGGCTGGTTCATTTCTCGGTCAAAGGTTATGTATATCCACTCAGTGAGGATACACAGCGAGCGTTCTTAAATCTGAGGATGTAAGGCACTATGGTAATTTTTATTCGTTATAAATATTGTACGTATATAAATTAATTCTTACTTACTTACTTACTTATCTTCACGCACAATCCCTGAAGGGGTAGCCAGAGAGAACAGATCGCCAAGTGTCACGATCAAAGTAGTTAATTAATTCAATTAATTAACTACTTTGCGGTATGAATGATATGCAAATATAATTTTTTTTAAGATCCGAACACAATAACAAAACGATATACATATCGATGTATATATACATAATCTTGTTTGCAGAGCACTGCCCTTCTATACACATTCACTACATATAAAGGCGTAACACGTGTTGTATGACTAAGGACGTTACGTTTTTTCTAGTGTCAGGTGGTGGTTGTAATGATGTTGATTGTAGCGTTTGTAACTCTGATAGTGCACGAAATTGTTGAAGGTAAGGTTTCCTTTTTTTACATAATCATGTCCTTGATTACAATCTCACCTGGTGGTAAGTGGTGATGGAGCTCTAAATGGTAAATCGCACTGTCTTAGCGTTACAAAAACCTATTCACTCTTGCCTTGAAGACACCCTGTTTGTAAACAGACGTAAAGACAGATTATTCCACTCCTTTCCTGTACGCGTTACGAAAGCAAACCTTTTGGTTCTAATGCGTGATAAATTGACGCAACGGTGTTGGAAAGAAGGAGGAGTAATAAAGGCATTATCTTGAAGCGAAATAATAAACGCCATTTTTTTCCACGGTTTGTTATAACCGAGGAGTTGTCACGTAGGAGAATCCATCACCCCATCTTATTTTACATCTTCTGACCGGTACATGACTGACGTAAAACATCGACATCGACATCGACGTAGATCAGCGGTAGTAGCCTAATGACAGGGTGCGCACCGCGAACTCAAAAGGTCGTGGGTTCGAATTCGCCATTCGACTACTGCCTTGAACTATTCCTAACACAATCATTTTAAGCTTACCGGGTGTGGTTAAAGGAAATATTAGTAATGTTAATAGCATTGCTAGTTATTTTAATTTAAAAAAAAATTCAGTCCAGTTTTGGGTAGCAGCGTTAAAGTGACGAGACGTATGATTCCGAAATCATCAAACCATGCCTGCCTTTGGCATGGCAGGCAGGGATTGATGATTGTGGCCGTTAAGGCAAATCTTCTCTACAGCCGGAGGAGCCCACACACAGCAGTCAACTTCCACAGACTGATAAGAAAGGAAAATAAAGGAAAAGAAGAAATTGTTATTTTTCTCACATTTAGTAACTCAAAACATCGTAATTCGAGAACTGCCTGTACACTACGCCAGCGCTTATCTACGGTCCCACCTGATGGTAAGTGGTGATGTAGCCTAAGATGGTGAAGCGCACTGACTTAACAAAAGCCCATTCACTCTTGCCTTGAAGACACCCACATTGTAATCGGATGGAAAGACAGATGCTGGCAACTTATTCCACTCCTTTGCTGTACGCATGATGAACTACGTCGTTCATTTGGTTCGAACGCGTGGTAAGTCAACAACGAAAGGGTGGACATTGGCCGAACGTCTGGTTGTCCGATGGTCAAAGCGAGAGGGACGAATTAAATTATGCGATTCCTGCGCACACTCTCCGAAAACCGAAAGAAAACAAACAAACAAAACAACTGTAGAAAACCGAAAGGCTGGCTACTTTGCGTCTGTATGTGATCTTTATAGCACTTCCCATAATGGCCTTTTACGACATTCACGGGACAGTAAGATCGATTATCGATTCTCTTATGACAAAAAGATATCTAGGCTATTCGATATAAGTTTTCTTATCGTGATGTTTTTAAAATTTATAATATTGATGACTTCATTAGACTCTTTCAGACGACGTTGACAGTTACACGTTATCGGAAACTCTCTATCAAAGAGTATATAATAATACAACATTTGACTGTCTATAACTATCATAATAATGTCCCCCAGACCAAATATCGGCCAAGGCGGCCAGTCTCAACGGACACTAGACATCTGCGCAGTAACAGTAACAGAGTGTGCGCGCAAACCAAAGTGTAGTCTCCATTCCCTAATTCTCATAGCCTGATGGAAGTCCCAACTTCCTAACCACCGCCAACTTCCTAACTCTGGGCTGTTACTGAAAAGTTCTAAAATCTAAAATCCAATAACTGATTTTTGGCCCGACCTAAAATTCGAACCCGGGACCATGTGAACTTACGACCGCTAGACTAACAAGGCAATCCAAGTATTGAACTTGAAACTAACCGGCACCAATAACTTTCTTGACATTTTTCATTATCATCATAATCTTCATGACACCTTTACAATTTTTTTTGCTATATTGATTGATTTATAACATGACAAGTTATAAATAATTTGAAAACGTTTTACATATCTATAACTATGTAGTAATAATATATAATAAATTTCTAAAAGACCGGCAACGCACCTGCAATTCCCCAGGTGTTACGGTTGTTCATGGGCGGCTGTAGTCAATTACTATCAGGTGAGCTGCGTGCTCGTTTGCATCCTCTTCTATAAAAAAATAAAATAAAAAATATAATATCCTTTGCAATAGCCATGTATGAAATGAAACCTGCTATGAAACTTGGCATCTAGTCGTTTGCATCGAATTTGGCCTCTTTTCACAATTATGTTTTGAGAGGTATAATTACTGACATCTATAATGTGTTCGTATGATCCATGATGATACATTGCCTAATGATATATTGCGTATTTTTCTCATAAATAAGAGGCAATAATCAGAAGTAAAAAATAGTTTTGTCGAGAGCCTTATAAACAACGCAAGTAATAAATACCAAAGATGAAATTACTATCGGCTAATAACTTCTAAGACATAAGTATAACCCCAAGTAATTAAATACAAAGAATTGAACAAAAAATCCAATCAAAACAAAGCATTCCTTGTAGATTGCCAAAACAAGACAAGAATGTGTTAACGTCACTAACGCGTTATTTATGCGAATAAACTTCAATTATGCTTTATTTAGATATTATATATTTTTTATTACTAAATTTACAGCCTATATACAGCCCACAGGAACTGGCATTCTCTGTTTTCTGATAGGGTTATAGTGCAAACAGTTCGCCGCAAGTTGACATAATTGACATGTTTTTTTTTTTAATTTCACTCTCATACAGTTTTCCACAAACACGTGGTAAATCAAACGATCGTATTATGTGATTAAAATAAAACCGGTAAAGTGCGAGTCGGACTCGCACGTGAAGGGTTCCATACCACCGTAAAACACGTTTCTAGTATGGTAGCCCCCTTTAATTTTTTTTTATATCTTTTTATTATTTGTTGTTATAGCGGCAATAGTAATACACATTCTTTGAAAATTTCAGCCGTAACGGATCATAAGATACAGTCCGCTGACAGACAGACAGACAGACGGACGAACGAACGGACAGCAGAGGCATAGTAATAGGGTCCCGTTGTCACCCTTTGGGTACAGTACCCTAAAACCGAAAGTTTGCTCACGTTTTGAGCCACGGATCATGTTATAGAATACTAATATAAATTATTTTCTTCCAACAGGACTACTTCCAGAAGCTTTAAGAACAAAATGCATACGGTGTACCGAGAGGCAGAAGAGGACAGCCGTTAAGATAATTAAAAGACTTAAATACGAATACCCCGATGAGTGGTCTAAGCTGGAATCGAGGTGGGATCCAACTGGTGATTTCACTAGATACTTCGAGACCTTCTTGGCCAATGAGCAATTCAACACTATTTCTGGATCAGGTATGAACATTTCCGGCCGTACCGTGCATGTCAAAAATTATTAATTCGCAGTCCGTACTTCCCATACATTGGGAAAGAATGAGAATGTATTTATGATGTGTAAATGTATTATTAATACCGTTTACTAAAAAACTTCAAAAAGAACAATATCTTACAATTTATGTTGAGCAATATTGAGAATAATATGAGGTTAAAAAATAATTTTCAAACAAATCATGAAATCCTGTGGCAACTCAAAAAATACGTTTTTTCGATATTTATAGATATTTTAAAAAAACGAATGAAAGAAATTATTTACAAAAATATCATTTAGTAAATTTTAACTAAAATGTCTTGCGGCCTTGTTTTCATAGGCAACCCGGTAAAACATTTTCCTCAAATAACAATCCATAAATTTTATTTCTATTAAAAAACAAATGGGCCTAGTAATGACGCAGTAGGATCTCTTTTTTTTTATAAAGTAAGAGTATCAAACGAGCACAAAGTCCACCTGATGGTAAGTGGATGCTGTGGCCCATAGACTTTCACATCTATAAAGATTCTCTAGTTCTCTACACTCACCATACGAAACAGGAGCTTTAGGCCTCATGCCCACGAGACAGTTTTTCGCCGGAGCTAAACCCGGTGTCAAACCGGGTACACGTTCGGTCGTCGGCGCCGGCTCACCGCGCAACTGCTAGAACCAGTGTCGTGTGATTGGCTTCATAGTGTCCCATAGAATACTGACGACCGGACGTAGACCCGGTTTGACGCCGGGCTTAGCTCCGGCGAAAAACCGTCTCGTGGGCATGAGGCCTAAAGTTGCTATTTTATGCTGGTATTCTGTGAAAGCGGAGTGGTTCCATTCGTGCTTCAACTATACTACTGATATAGGTGCAGCATGGTTCTACCACGTAAAAATAGTTCGGTAATTATTCGAACAGAAAGACAGACGCCGGAAAACTATTCAACTGCTTTTTTGTACGCATTACAAAATACGAAGCAAACCGTTTGGTTCTAATGTGTGGAATATCGACAACAAAGGGGTGAAGACCCGCCGACCGTCTGGTTGTCCGATGGTGGAAAGAAGAGAGAGGAATTAAAGTATGTAATTCCTGCGCACACTGTCATTGATTTTACATTCATATATTATGAATATTAAATTGATCAAGACAGTACTTTGTAATCGTTATTTAAACTTTACGTTTAGAAGGCAAGACCAGTAAACAAATAAGATAAATCAAGCATCATAATCGCACAGCATTCGCTGCGTGCATGGTAAATGTGATCGCATTCTGTTACGCATTTTCATTGTGGAATCTTTTTTTGTAGATTACAATCAAGAGCAAAAACATATCATACGCTACGCTGATAGTTACTTCTTATTAGTTAAATAACGACCTCGCTAGCGTTTAAGACTTCCGAGATGATGATTCATATCTTGTGCATTTGTGTATAGAAATACAGACGTGATCTGACAAGTTTGAATAAAACTATTATTACGGATTTTATCGCGTTTAATTAACTTAATTTATATTCCCGACGTTTCGGTTGCTTTCCAGCAACCGTGGTCACGCGGGCCTGAGGTGATTGACGTCCCGATGTCAGTGTTAAACCGGAGTACCTTCAGCTTTTTTAATTAATAATTTTGGTCCGATCTACGCAGAATGAACTAGCTGTGTCTTGAAGTCTTGCAGTGGTATGCTTGGGTTTAGTTTTAATTTTATGAATTACAGGATCCCAAGCAGGTGGTAGTACCCAGCCTCCCTCTCTATTGAAATTAGGATGTTTTTTAATTTCAATAGCCTCACGTATCATCCTTGGCAGGAATCGATGTTCTTTCGCGAGAATTTGTGGTTTATCAAATCTAATGTAATGGCGGGGGCCGTCTAGGATATGATCACAAACTGCAGACTTCCCGGAAGCACCAACGTTCCGGGAAGTCTGCAGTTTGTGATCATATCCTAGACGGTCAGATCCTGTAATTCATAAAATTAAAACTAAACCCAAGCATACCACTGCAAGACTTCAAGACACAGTTAGTTCATTCTGCGTAGATCGGACCAAAATTATTAATTAAAAAAGCTGAAGGTACTCCGGCTTAACACTGACATCGGGACGTCAATCACCTCAGTCCCGCGTGACCACGGTTGCTGGAAAGCAACCGAAACGTCGGGAATATAAAATAAGTTAATTAAACGCGATAAAATCCGTAAAAATAGTTTTATTCAATGTGTAGTGTTCGCGTAAATATACGAAATCATTCTGACAAGTTTGATTGTGGATAGAAAGAGTTAGCCTTAGAGGTAACATAAGGTCATCCATATTATGGATTCATTGATCTTACCTTGACCGTCCGAACGAATATATTATTCGAATGTTCAATCTATATTATACTAGATGACCAGGCAGACGTTGTTCTGCCTACTCCGATGACCCTTTGGCCCTACCCTTGTATTTGTATCGGGATAAAAACTATCCTACATATCTATATAATCCTAATCCTAGCATAAACATGGTAGAGCCATGCTGCAGCTATATTAGTAGTAAGTTGTAGCACGAATGGGTCGGCTCGACCGGGGATGGACCACGCTCTCACAGAATATCAGCGTAAAATAGCAGCTTAACATTGCTGTGTTTCGTAAGAAAACTGCTCTTGCCTGTCATGGTGTCATAAAAGCCGACTAATGGGATATTGGGCTTGTGATTGTGTAGGCTACCTATATTACTTTTTCCCAATTTTCCATCTAACCCCATTTTTGGCTAATCGTGGTCCGAGTAGCTCGCTGCTTTTTAGACTCTACCTACAACCAGGGATTACAAACATGACATTATTATATATTTACACGTGTTCGAACCTCACTAAACCTAAATGTTCGTAGCCCGAACGTTTAATCAGCCATCAAAACGGCTAGCTCACTGATTAAAAACTAGCCAAGCCTTTATATTAATTACAATGACAACAGCTGATGTGATTTTAACTGATAAATGATGTATTTAAAAAAATCAACAACAGAACGATAAGATTTTTAAAATCAATTTCATTTCAAAAATAATTAAATACTAAAACTTTAGTCAAATAATTAAGTATTTGGTCATTAAAATTAACCAAGTGACTAAAAATTGCTAGGCATTGAATTTTTATGCCACGGTTTAGCCAATCGAGATGCAAGAAATAAACTTACAAATATTCTTCCTAATATGAGATTTAAATATCTATGAATGTATAACAAACATATTTTACAATATTACACAGACGCTGAAAACGCACCGCTACCGCCAGCACCTCTACCAGAACCTAATCTTCTATCCGTGTTGCCCGCTGCGCCCGCTGCCTCCGCTGCGCCCGCTACGTCCGCTTCGCCCGCTACCACCAAGCCGACGCCCGTAACGCCCCAGACAGGGTCAACCACAACGCCAATGCCGCTGCTACTTAACAGGTAAATTTAATATTTAGTGCTACATGTGAAATTGCACAACTAGCGCAAGTTGACAGTGAGGATCTAAGAAATCTAAACGTGGTTCTACTGCTAAAATGGTAATCACTCAGCACGCTATGGAGAAGGTTTGAACCTTAGAGATGAGAAGAGAAGGAAAGAAATCATTGAGGAACATCGCGCACTGAAGCAGTGTAGCAGACAAATGTTCCATAGTCCTCTTAGACTTTCTTTATATTTGAGAGTCTGAGAGGATTTTTACTTGGGGCAAGAAACGAAAACGCGGCAAGAATTAAAGCTTATGTTTGCGAAGAAAACTCGTGCTGATTTTGCACGGCAATGCGCACGTGCATAAAGCTCGTGTTGTCATGGCTGCTTTTCAAAGAACGGGCTTTGAAATTTTGGAACACCCATCCTATAACCTATATTATTAGTTAACTATGTGGAGAATTACAAAACATTATTTTTCGACTGGCATTAAACATGTAAATTAATCGTTCTGAAAAATGTATAAATGTCTAAGGGGATATCAAGAAGGAAAAATAATTTTGAGTATAATTTTATAGTTCTTGTCCTCCTTTGCACAATTATAAACCTTCCCATGTTTTTTTATAGGATAAGGATAACAAACGAGCAGACAATCCACCCGATGGTAAGTGTAATTTATCCTCGATTACGAAAACACAGCAACGTTAAGCTGCTATTTTACGCTGGTATTATGTGAGAGCGTGGTCCTTCTCCGGTCGAGCTGGCCCATTCGTGCTACAACGGTTCTACTAATATAGCTGCGGCCAGGCGCGGTCTGAAGGGAGGTTCACAGGGGACATGACCCCCCTCCCCCCACCAACTCAAATCGTACACATCAAATTGAAAAATCTTCTAAAAATTACTGACAGACTCTCCGCGATAGTTATCAAGGAAATGACGGGGAATATTTTCATATTTCCGCAGGACTTTTTCTAATCCACTGATAGCATAATGACTGACCTACACGACCGACTTTCTACGGATACGATGGTCCTGTTCGGATTATCCTAATAATAATAAAAAAATATAAAACTGCAACTGCTAACCCGCCTCCCAAGCGTGGCAACTATGGCAAATATCCTCTCTATGAGGCAAGCTATGTTCAGCAGTGGACTTTTGAAAGGCTCTGGCGGTAACGGCGTAATATGATTCCTGCGGAGAAATGATTCCTTTACAATGTGTTTGGTACACTAGAGGAGAATAAAATTACACTCGAACTAATAATTTAACAATCAGACATCATGATATTAATAATTGTTAAAAGATCAACGATTTTTTGTGTTCAAAATTCACATTTAAATCTCAACATTGAATTACCTTCTACCTTTTTTTTTATAAGATAGGGTGACAAACGAGCACACAGTCCACCTGATGGTAAGTGGTTACTGTGGCCCATAGACATCTACATTTATTCTCGTTTGCGAATCAAAATGCAGATGCGTTGTCACCCGTGAGGACTAAGATAGAATGCCTCTTTTCCAGTAAAAAGGGTCTCCGGTTCTCTACACTCACCATACGAAACACAGCAGCATGAAACCGCTATTTGACGCTGGTATTCTGTGAGAGCGTGGTCCTTCCCCGGTCGAGCCGACCCATTCGTGCTACAACTATACTACTAATATAGCTGCAGCATGGCTCTACCACGTATAGACGTACCTTACCAGTTTATAACTTACATAGTCTGTAATTAAATTTTTACGGGGCGCAGGTGTTATTATATATTAAATATAACACGTATCTAATGACACTAACGATGGGTATTTACCACTGTGTAGACTCAGATGTTACATTGAGGAAATTGTTATTACAGTTATGAATTTTATTTCACGATGAAGACGAATGTGCACGATGTACAAAAAAGTAGTATATATAATTATGGAAGTAGAGGAAAACATAGTCAATAAAACCAGTAAAAGACCTGTTTGTATATATATTTTGGAAATTCCATTTACACTCGATTTAAACAGACATTCTTAAAAATGTAATAAAATTGATTGCATTAATTTTATTTAAAACAAAACATAAATAAACTATATAAATGATACTGATGATATTATGTATAGCTATAATAATAATAACGTCCTACAAAGCGCATTTCGGTTACGGCGGCCAGTCACGACAGGATTATAGTGCACGAGTGAGTACGCAAGCACAGGTGCTCTCTCTATTTGCTCACTCTCATAGACCGATAGAACAGGAATCGGACATGACCGGAGAGATCAGGCGCAGGACCAACAGCTTTACGTGATCTTTTCGGGCCACGGGGATGAAACACCGCCAACTTCCTGACTCCGGGCTGTTACTGAGAATTTCTTGATAAAAAAAACCGCTTTGGCCCGACCTTGGATACGAACCCGGTACTTATGGTATTATAATCAGCAGTCTCGTTTACGACCAGTAAACTAACGAGACAGTCATACGCATAACATTTTTACAAGTAAGCCCGTGGTTTGATAGGAACTCTTACAGATAAACTAGTGATCACATACTGGCTGAATTTTATATCCTCAAAATTTTGTTTATTTCTCAAATATCTAGAATAACAATGTTTTTCTTTAACGCCGAATATTTATTAAATTAGCTTTTTAAATTGAGACAAATAATTTAATTGATGCTGCCGGGGATCGATCTCGATTCGTTCGCATGTACTTGGTATACATTTTTGGATGAAATACAACCAAGATCGCTCCTGGCATTGCTCTCTATCTGTTTGTCAAATTTTATTACAATCGGTTCAGCCATTCCGAAGGTGCGCCCGGATAGACAGAAAGACAGACAAAAAGTTTAAAAATTGTTATTCATGACTTAATGGCATTCAAATAACTCCTTGAGCTTAATAAAAGCCAGTTATTTCAATATTACAGACAGAAACTTCAATTTTACTTAATATATGTATTGTAAGAAATTATTCCACTTCTTATGTTAAAAATTATTCTCAAAATTATTGAAATAAAAGAACACTACTGGGTAACAAGCCCTGCTTACTATCACGACCCAATTACATGATAACACCAAAGCAAGCAAACCAACAGCATCACTACCCATCTCAATGTAACACAGTTCAGCCTCTCAGCAACAAAACATATTTCTACAAATCATATTACATATTTATCAATGGTAAAGATTCCTCCAGATCAGTAGTATCAATGGACGTTCCTCAGGGCTCGATTCTTAGCCCATTCCCATTCTTAGTTTATATTAAGCTCTTGGTCCAATCTCGTAGAATTACCGACTGGTCATCTTAGTCGCCTGCGCGATACCTTATACTGCTAGAACGGGTGGGAGTTCTACCTTCATTTGTTCGTATTTCCTTTTATTTTTTAGCCTTATCCCCAACAATATAATTATTCTTAACTGCCTTATGATATTCTCTTAATAATACTTAAATAATTCTGCAAACTCAAACCTTTCCTGTTCACCACATTCTTCTACGACTTTATCAGCCCGTGCAAAGATCACAGCTCATTATCTTCATATCTGGGTCTCTTCCATAGCTCTAAGCCGCACGACAGATCGGTGCTTACAGTAACAGATGTTTTGCTTTTTCGGCGCTGTTCTACGTATCCGGTCTGATCTTTTAATAGTACGTGCGATACATAAAGATTGTGCAATCATAGTGATATGTATCTTAATTCGTTGTTGTAAATATCAAAAAATTTCCTAAAATGCCATTTGTATAAGGAAACGAAATATGATAAAAAGAAGTAATTAACAGTTGACGTCCAAGGAGACCTGGTACAAATCTGGCTATTTATTAGCAAAAGAGTTAGCTACGATATTGCATATTATCCCGTAATTACAGTAAAGTACATGACTGAGAACAATACAGAGTACTGGTGAGGCTGCTCACAATGGTTACGTCACAATATGTAGAAAAATGAATGAAATGTTCGTACGCAATACGCTATAATCGTACGCAAGGAAACCGAGTTCGGTTCCCACCGTCCCGTATGATAAAATTTTTAATTAAAATTATATGTGCTGATTTCGACCGTGTGTTATAAAAAATAATGTTTGTTTGTTCGTAGTTTATGTGCTGCCTTACCGTTCATCAGATTGCGCTAAAACTTTGTCAACTTACAGCAGAGGGCGCACGTATCGTACCGACAAATTTATTTGAAAGTTATACATCATTCAACTACAATGTGTGTTTTATTCAAGGAGATTGTAAATATATTATATTATAACCTCCTTGGTTTTATCACTCCTAATTAAACAATATAACTTTTCCAAATTTAAAACGATATTTCGACAATTATTGTTTTGCGGCAACAACGCGCCGGGTACCAGCCACTTTCTTATAAAAATTAATGATTGTTGTTTCGTATTTGATGCGCTGCCTTACCGTTTATCAGATTGTGGTAAACAACACAGAATAAATAATAGTTAAAAGAAGTAAAACTTTGTCAGCTTATAGCGAGAACTTGTGCGAAGGTCATAGGCTATGCCTATGACAATAAAACATATAACATAGGCACAATTAAATTACAGTAGGTGATAAATACATCCAACTTCTGTTATTGTAATATAATCAGTCCTAGTTAAACAATATGACTGTTCCAAATATTAAACGATATTTTCTCACAATTGTTTGTTATGCGGCAGCAACGCGCCGGGTACCAACTAGTATAATATAAAATTTTGCACAACCGACTGCATATAAATTATTAAGAATTTTAAAAAACTATTGGCCAGATCTTGATTTTTTTTATATGGGACCACATGTGAAGCATCAGCTTTCAAATAAATACACCCAGTAAAAAGTTATTAGGTAACACTCATAAAAAAAAAACATACAGTCGAATTGAGTACCGTCTCCTTTTTGATGTCGGTAGAAAATAGGGTAACAAGTTAATGTCAAATACGCTCTTGTAATTGTCCAAGGCGGCCACTCAAAATATAAGCCCCACGCGCCGCTACGAGGCACACACACACACACACACACCAGCTATCACTCTCCATTCAGGTTTTTACTTTAATATACAGGATCCTAAAAATATCATCTTAGAAAAAGGATTATTATTTAAAACTAGCGATCCGCCCCCGCGTCGCCCGGTTTATTTTAGGACCTCGACTACACCAACAGCACCACCTACCGCGTCCAATTGTGAATCTAAATTATCCAGGGACCCACGCACACACACAATTTTTTTATCGGAATCGGTCGGGCCAGTTTGAAGATTTATCGAGAATAACGGACAGCAATTGATTTTTAGATACAGAGATTTGAAAACCGAAGTATTTTTATTTTCTACTAGCTGATACCGGCGATTTCGTCCGCGTTGCTAGATATTTTAACAAAATTTTCGTATGTGCGAAGGAAAAAACATCAAAAAGATCGCAAGCAAAAATATACTTTGCTTACAAAATCTCTTTGTAAACAATGTTGTTCGTGTAATGGTGGCACTTCACATGGCTATTTGTATTTTTGTGATTGCATGTTGCCGTATTTGGCAAAAAATTTGACGCACGGGCAAATAAGCGATACAACCGTGTCTACATATGGAGCCAAATACCAAAAAATTAAACATGTTTGCTAGCAGAAAGTAGTTGTACCTACAAATTAGACGTTGCACTTGCAGTTGGATTTTATTATTTGAACGCATGTTACTATTATATTTTTTTGCCCCTCGATTCCAAGGTCGCAATGCATGGGTTCATTTGGTAAAGTTCTAGAAACCTTACAACGGTTTCTTTGTCCCAATTCATTTTCCGTAGGTACCTAAATAATAACTTATTGTGAAGTGACACCATAATAAAATAAATGCTAGCTGGTTCAATACAATATTTTATTATTTTTATGAAGGTACAGTATCGACACCCAATATCGATCTACCCACAATATGCTACAGTTCGTTGCGCGAAAGTAAGCGCCGTAAAGTTGACCATGTGAAAAATTCCGTATAAAATCGTTGTTTCTTAAAACTTTAATAACTTTATATCAAATGAAGATATCGCAATTTTTTTTTTGATAAGGGCTGTGTCTAAGAAATAAAACTTCGAAAACCTAATTGAAATCTATCCAGTAGTTTTTCCGTGATGCGCGCACAACTGCAAACTTCTATCATTGTATTTATATAGATTTATATTTTATCATATTTTACATTAAAATAACTACAATCCATATTTTCAAAATGATTGATGATAAATGTTTGCAGCAGTTTATTACTGCGTTATGAATATTTTTATCAAATTTAAGCAGTTATATTTGTATATTATTTTATTAAAAAGCAAAATTATAACTTAATTTAAATCTAATTTCAGATTCGCGGACGACGGTGACACTAGTCCGTCGTCAGCTGTAGCTACGCCGCGGCCTACCATGTCACCTATGACTACCCGGCCAACCACCATGCGTTCAAGGTATAATTTGACGTTTTATTGATTCCCACTAGGTGTAATCACCATCATTATTAATAATAAAATAATGTCCACCAGCCCGAATTTCTGTCACGGTGTCACTCAACGGAGACTAGCCATCTGCGCAGAACAGGATTATAGTGCCCGAGTATACTCGTGTACTCGCACAGGTGCACTCTCTTCCCCCACTCTCATAGTCCGATTGAAGAGAGATCAGGCGCAGGACCTATGGATTTACGCGCTTTCCGAGGCATGGTGGTGAAACATTGCTAAATTCCAAACTGGGCTGCTATTGAGAATTTAGAAAAAACCAATAACTGATTTTGTCCCAACCTGGGATTCGAATCCGAGGCAGTAATCATTATTATTATCATTGATGTTCACAAGTCTGATAAGTTCAACTTTCCCCTACGTATGTCATAAAACACGGTCCCGACACACCTACATCTATGGACTTTCTAGCTTCCTCCATGTTTTACCAGTCCTCACTCCATCTACTGGACAAGCTGCCAATTAAAATAATACTGTCTAATTTTTAACTGGTAAGATATAAAAATCTCCACCTCTTCATCGTATAATAGCGATTTTAGATAGATTTGTATTATACACTAGCTATTCCTCGCAACTTTGCCTGCGTGGAATTTATTGCAATTTATTTTCATGTTTTTTTTGCGCGGTACCCTAATTCTTTTTCTAAAATAAAAGTGGCCTAAGTTACTCCTTATAACATTAGCTATCTGCCAGTGAAATTCTCCGTTATAATCGGTCCAGCTGTTTCTGAGATTAGTCGGAACAAACAGACAGACAAACAGATATACAGACAACTTTTTTTTATAAGTACCGTATATACTTTCATATGCATTTAGTAAAAAGCTGTTACTTTGACCATTACAGACAGACGTTTCAAATTTGTTTATTAGTATAGATTTATTACGGAGTTTCTTTCTCTGTTTCCAAATCTTTCCGTACACCAGACCGGAACCTCATTTTGATACGGTAGTAGATTTGAAAAATAAGAGACATTTGACAAGCGAAATTTAATATCATTTAACAAAAAGAAATTTAAAGCTTTGCTTAAAATGCATCCTCAAATATGAACATGAGCAAATAACGACAAACAAAAATATATCTTTGCTTACCAATATGTTACGGATGTCGACTTTTCTAATTTGATTAGCCAGTGTAACGGTTCCGTAAGAAACCGAAAGAATTTTTTTTTATAGGATAAGGGTGACAAACGAGCACGCAGTCCACCTGATGGTAAGTGGTTGCTGCGGCCTATAGACATCTACATCTATCTTCTATTACAAAACAAAATGTAGATGCGTTGTCACCCGTGAGGACTAAGATGGAATGCCTCATTTCCAGTAAAAAGGACCTCCGGCCACCTGCACTCACCAAGCGAAACGCAGACGTAAACCTCTACTTCACGCTTGTTTTCTGTGAGGTCGTGGTACCACCCCGGTTCGAGCCGGCCCATCCGTGCGACAGCAAAAGCTGCCGCGTGGCTTTACCACTGTTATATGATTGTATCAGTTCCCATGTGTTTTATCGACGTAAACAATGAAATTGGATCATGGGTTACATAAAATATTGCATATTTAAATTCGATAGTGGACATATTTAATGAGTAGCTGTGACCAACAAACTGACATCAAGATATTTTACTAAAGATGATACTGAAAAAGCATTTTTGTAACTGCTTTTTACTACATGAAGAACCAAGTGACTATTTTGGTTTTTTGAATATAATTATTGTCAATGACATCTGGTGAACATGGGCCTCTACATATAGATTACCTCATATGGGGGATATTTGGCATAGATGCCACGCATGGCAAGCAGGTTGGCAACCACAGTTTTTTTTTATTTTTAGTCGTTATTAGGAAAACGCTGCTGCCCGTCTCCAGGTTTGTTCCCCTCTGTCACCTCTTACGACACCCACGGGATGATATGGGGTAGTCGATATTCTTACATCGTCACCACACGGGTATATTTAGGTAGTATACCCGATTAACTACCTAATTTTCGCCGCATTAAAAATCAACACAAATGCAAACCCCGGCCGGATAACTAATAAAAATCTTATTATTAATATTATTTATCCAAATAGAAGACTTTTGTTTGTTAATTTCTTCGTCTGGTGGCGATTAAAATTTTAAAATAATAATCACCCTTTTATTTTATCAATTTCTCCATTTCATTAAAAAAAAAAACTTTTCTGGATAAAATATATAGGTAGCTAAGATCACTCCTGGTATTGCTTGCTATGTATTTGTGAAGTTTCATCATAATTGATTCAGCCATTCATAAGATTAGCCCGGACAGACAGACAAACAGTCAGACAAAAATTTCACAAATAGTCTGTATTTCGATACTACAGACAAACACTTCAATTTTATTTATACTGATGATGCCGCAGAGATAACAATTGGCTTACTTAATGATGTATGGCAAGGCTCCTTTTCTTCCTAGGAGACTATGTGACCATGTAACTACCCTATTACCAATTACTGCCGCCAATCTGAAGTGTACAGAAGTAGCTCGGAGGACTTTATCATGGTCCTCGGAGGTAACAAAGCAGCAGTAGCCTTTTATTTAAAATCGGTTGCAGGTATCCATTGACTGCAAGAACCTTTTACTATCAGATAGACTGTTAGTTCATTTGTAACTTTCTTTTTATAGAATAAGGGTAACAAATACTCACACAGTCCACCTACTGATAAGTAGATGCTATGGCCCATAGACATCTACATTTATCTTTGATTAGAGATGAAAATGCAGATGCATTGCCACCCCTGAGGACTAAGATGGAATGCCTCGTTTCCAGGTAGAAACGGTCCGATTCTTTAAACTCAGCATACGAAACACAGCAGCATAAGGCCGGTCACATACATACGGAATTCCGTTTCGTGATTCCGTTTCGGAATCCCGAATCGGGATTCCGTGAATACATCTTGCTGTATCATTCTTACTAGGTGCATCCCCTTATCACCCTAAGCTTGCTCTATCTATCCAGAGATATTTTTTAAATATTTATGTATGTAAATTCTTTCGACGAATTATTAAATAAAATAAGATGAAAGGTTATGAAAAGCTATACACCTACAAGATTAAACTTAAAACATACATAAATATACCTACTCGCTTCGGCCGTGCGACGAACACTGAGCGCATTCCGCGACGATTCGCGATGCGACGATCCGCACGATGACGATTTTCTAATTGGGATTCCATTATTGCTGTATCATTCTTACTAGGTGCATCCCCTTATCACCCTAAGCTTGCAATATAGTCAATACTATGTAAAAAGATCTATCTATCCAGAGATATTTTTTAAATATTTATGTATGTAAATTCTTTCGACGAACTATTAAATAAAATAAGATGAAAGGATACGAAAAGCTATACTAACCAAGCTGTGTTTCACTTTCAACTGCTATAAAACTTACATCAATAACATACATTATAAGCTCCGAGACATTGGCAGATAAACGTCAACAAACAACATATTTGGAGCGACACTAATTGTGTTTGACATTGGCAGTATAAACGTAAACAATGTATTATTTTATTTTATGTATGTATTTGTAAGACATATTTATACATGAATTTTATCTTTCTTCACTCCTCCCTTAAAAAGTAAATATGCCAAATCTCACACTCCTCCATGAGTACAATATGCTTATAAAGTTTTCCCTTCACATTTTTAATATTTGGATTTTTACACCTACAAGATTAAATGTAAAGACATACATAAATACACCTACTCGCTTCGGTCGTGCGACGAACACTGAGCGCATTCCGTACGGAATTTACGTATGTGTGTTGCGACTCGTACAAAATCTATGGAAGACGTGCGTTCGGAGCGGCTTTTTTCCGTTCGGGATCCCGAACGCACAGGCGGTCATACGGAATCTCGAATCGGAGAAATTCCGTACGGAAAAATAACGTACGTGTGTGGCGGGTCATAGTTTTTATATGGACTTGCTGCGTTCGGAATCCCGAATACGGTAGTTTTCCGTTCGAAATTTTGCGGGCAAAACAATATTCCGTATGTGTGTGGCCGACCCGTTCGGAATTCCGAAACGGAATCTCGAAACGGAATTCCGTATGTATATGGCGGGCCTAAGGCCGGCCACATACATACGGAATTCCGTTTCGATATTCCGATTCGGAATCCCGAACGCAGCAAGTCCATATAAAATCTATGACTCGCCACACACGTACGGTAGTTTTCCGTTCTATATTTTGCGGGCAAAACGGGATTCCGTTTGTGTGTGGCCGACCGTTCGGAATTCCGAAACGGAATCTCGAAACGGAATTCCGTATGTATGTGGCGGGCCTTAGGCCGGCCACATACATACGGAATTCCGTTTCGAGATTCCGTTTCGATATTCCGATTCGGAATCCCGAACGCAGCAAGTCCATATAAAATCTATGACCCGCCACACACGTACGGTAGTTTTCCGTTCGATATTTTGCGGGCAAAACGGGATTCCGTTTGTGTGTGGCCGACCGTTCGAAATTCCGAAACGGAATCTCGAAACGGAATTCCGTATGTATATGGCGGGCCTTAGGATTGTATTCAGAGTGTTGTCCTACCCCGGTCGAGCCGAGTCATTCGTGTTACAACCATAGTATAGCTCAAGCGTGACCCTACCACGTTACTCACATATTAATAGAAAAAATAATGCATTTGTGACATTTGGGCGGCCCCCCAAATAGATGGAGTGCCGAACTGGTAGGAGATGCGAGAAGTAGGTGGATGCAAGTGGCTGTGGGAGCATTCATTGGGGGAGACATGTGTACTTGAGAAACGCTTTAATGATAATGGTTCTGATGATGAGACAAAATTCCTTAAAAAATGTTGGATAACTGATTGTAAGCTTTTCTAGAATAGTTCAAAATAAATATATGTGTTGTGTATGTATATTATAATATGAACTCTTTGGTAAAATAGAGTCCTCCCACCAATTATAAATAAATAGTTTATCTACATG